AACCAAAAGGGAGAACCAAGCTAGATCAGTAGCCTAATATTATCTGATTCCAAGACTTATTATAAAGCTATAGTCAACTGGTCAATGTGGTTATGGCATAAAAACAAACACATCAACGGAACAGAACTCAGAGGCCAGAAATAGAACCACATGTACACGCAACCAATTTTTGACAAAAGTGCAGAGGCAATTCCATAAAGAAAAAACAATCTTTCAACAAAGGTTGCTGGAACAATTGAATTAAAATAGGCAAAGATATTACCTTCAGTCACATCTTATACCATATGCAGAACAAAACCCTCAAAATAAATCAGACTGAAACATAATACAGAAAACAAGAACTAGCTAAATAACTCATGGGATTTAATGGAAAAATGAAAATGACGATTCCCTTCTTCAAAAATTACTAAGTATTTCAGGATGACGGCAGAGCAGCATTATACCTAGTGTGGAACCCTTCTATGTGCAGCACACCATATATAAGTGCAGAAGTTACAGGCCACAAAAACAACCTGACAAAAAGTATAAAACTTCTAGAAGAAGACATGGAAGAGTATCTTTGTTACCTTGGCTTATGAAAGATTTCTTAGATAAATACAATACCAAAAATATGATCCATAAAAGGACAAACTGATAAATTGGACTGCATAAAAGTAACAATTTCTCAAAAGAGATTAAGTGAATGAAAAGACAAGCCAGAGATTGGGGGATAATATTTGCAAAAAAATGACAATAAATTTTAACACTGTCTATTATGTACCAGACACCATTTTAAGGACTTAATACAATGACCTATGTGGACATCATATAGCATATATTTGCCCAACTGTGTATATATTGTATAAACACCTTGTAAGTTAGATACAATTTTTATCTGTATTTCATATGTGAAAGGCATGGGTATTTAAGAATCCAGTATAGTGACATAAAAGCAGTAAGCAAAGAAGCCAAAATTGAAGCCCAGGCTATATGACTTCTAATCCCATGTCCTTTATCTACTAAGGTAAAAACAAATGCTGCCTCTTTCTTCCCATTTTCTCTTTTGAATCTGTCTAACAAGGCCCTTTTAAAAGTCAACTGCTTCTTAAACTGAATCCTGTTTAAGTCTCCTGAAATAAGGCATTTTTGAGAGCCACATCTACCTCATCACATTCAATGTATAACATCCTCTTCCATAACCTTTTCTAAGACTGAACAAACCAAGAGGTTATCAGTGTTCCAGGGACCAAAATCAGCAATCCAAAGGTAGCACAAGTAAGTTTATAATCCCTGCTGTCTGATAACGCAGCCTTGAGCTGGAATTGCCACACTGCCCAACTTGTTCTTTTGGAGCAAGCAATGTTGCTGCTGCAGTGTGTACTCGTTTCTTCTGCCCCGAAAGAATGTATGTGCCTCCCTCAGTGACCACTTATATCTACAGAGTGACCAAAGCATGGGAACACATATTTTTCTGTGTGTCTGCGCCCACCCACTGTTTCCTGGCAGGCTTTGGAGAAAGAAGTATCAAGTCCTAAAAAGGCATTTGGGCTGAATAGCACAATATGCTTGGATACCCTTGCTCCATGTAAACACAGGGCGATTGTGAAATCTAAGAGCCTGGGTGCTGTCGTTCCGCAAGGGTCTGCTTGGCATTTAGAAAGCCTCCTGAGATAGCTGTAGATCCCTTTGTCTGGAGGAAGGGTAGATACATGACCCTGGTCACCAGGGCTTCCTAGCAGTTCTCCCATGAATCTTTCATCCCAGCTTCCCTTTGAGGTAAGTTTCGAGCATCTCTAGCATGTCCGTGGCAATAAGCTTTAGGCTAGCCCATCTCATTTTTACAAATGTGAACAAAGCACTCTGATGTAAAAGGAAGAGTCACCAGCAAACTAAACTTCCTTCTTCACACAGTAGAAATAATATAGCTTGCAAAGTTTATTCAAAATCTGGCTGTTGCTGAGTAAATTCCTGTTTTGAACTATCGGCGCTAGGAGTCTTTCATGACTTCAGCTTTGACGTCATGTAAGTGCCTATGTCTCAGCATACAAAAACGTACATTGTGTAGCTGCTAGTACTCTCTACTTTCGGGAGCCAAAAAGCACGGGATCATATTTCTTATTCCCACTGTATGAAATTTTGTGTAACGCTTTAATTTTTTAACGTCTTCCAACCTTCAAAACAAGGAACACAATAACTACTCCACAGGTAGGATTTGGAGGTCATAGTTTTTCCTCAGTGCCCATGATCCGGTGGCCGAGGTAAACTCCTTTGAACACCCAGTCCCTGCAGTAACACAACCTTTCAAACCTGATGCCATTAACACGGAGCACCTCCACCACACCTGAAACTTTGGCTTTGGCACTTGGCACACCAGGGTGTGGCTCTCAGAAGCTTTAGCAAAATCCAGAAAGATGGATATGGTTGTTTATCGGTGTCATATATTTAAAAGCTAAACTTTCCTTCCAGTCAAGTTAGGATAATAAAATATTTTGAAAGGTGGATGTGTCCTGGTTGAATTTAATCAAAGCATAGTTGAATTTAATCAAAGAGAAAAAATTTGAGCTTTTCATTTGGAAACAGTTTTTAAACTCTACATGAGAGAAAATCAATATCACTAGACATCTGTACATGTATCCATTTGTCATTATCGGCTGTGGTGACAAGACAGTCTCCAAGATAACCCACTGGGGTTCACGCCCCAAACTTTCAATCTAAACTCACACTATTCTGTGTATTTATATTAATTTAAGAATGCATATGATTAAGCCTGTCTTTAGAAGAAAATCCTTCCTTTGGGTTTTCTAATTCTGATTTTCTTGATACATTTATATGGACACTATGTACGCAATAAGGAAATGAGAATGGCATTTGTTTCTAAACAATTACTAGAGAGTAACATGTAAAGATTAAGGGAGAGGAAGGTTATTGCATCTACCTGTGAAACCAGCAGTAAGTGGTTGCTCCTCATTTCATCAGGAAAAAGGAATGTGCTCTGGGGATACTAGGGCAATCATGCTACAGTACCCACATGGCTAAACAAAATACCTGCCTGGTGCAGGTATTTCAGCTGTGGAAGAGAGGCAGACCAGAAAAAAGGAAGTCCTCACGAAGGGAACCCTGCAAGCAATGAGGTCCACATCTCTTTCTCTCAATTATCAGTAGAAACGAAAGCACCAATCCATGTGAGGTACTGAAGGACGTGGGTGAATTCATCTCCAAGTGTGCCTCCAGGTAGGAGGGTCGGCTAGGGGAAGCTCTCAAAATTCATTTCCCTGTCGACTTAGAGTTCTTATGTTCAGTTCTCATCTAAAGGGCTCAATTATTTCTTGAAGGGTACACACAACGCCCTGTCCGAGTTCCTTGTTCAGTTTTATTTTGGACCCTTTGAAGGGCAGCTCTTCTGTTAGAGATCTAACACAAAGCATCCCTAATTAACAGGCTTTTGTTACAGGGTGGGGGCCCAGAACCCCACACACATACACACACATATACACACACACACACACACACACACACACACACACTGAAAGTGTGAATTTTAAGGCTTTGTTGCCCGAGCAGGAGACTCTGGATATTCTTATCACCTCATTTAAACCGGGGTTCTCTGGCTAGTATGTGAAGCCGTGCATGAATGGTCTAAATTAAATTACAGGTATGAATTTTACATAAAACAGATTAATATTATATGTCATGGTGGAATTTTAAAATACTACGTGCCCATGCATTTTTAATCTTTACGCGCTGTCATTTATGTGCAATTCCATGTCTTCAGCCCAATTTTGCATCTAGATGGGTAAAAGAAAAACCTGCCATGGTTTTATTTTATTTTTATGTCCCTTCACCAAAAAGAAAAAAAAAAAACCTGCATTTGATTCGGCATTCTTTTCTTTTTCCTTTTGCTAAGCTTTCGCGTTTAAAAAAAAAAAAAGAAAGAAAGAAAGAAAAAAGAAAGCGGAAAGGCTACACATTCCATTCCATCATTATGGTTTCAGCGATTGTGAAAAGGCGAGTAATGAAACCGAGGAGGGAGATACAGAAGAGAGGGACCGAGCCTCACAGAACAGCCCGTCTCTCCTAAGGCACCGGAATCCCGGGGGCCGAGCGAGGGTCGGGGACCCGGGGCTCCGAGCTGCAGGAGCGTGCGGCAACCGCGAGCAGGGCCCAGCGCGCCCCCGGCAGCCTAGGCCAGAGGAGCCAGAACTGCAGCCACACATTCCCGCAGTTCTTCGCAGGAACTTCTCTCCCTCGACTCCCTCCCCGGGGCACACACCAGCCCGGCCCGGCTCCCACCCAGCTCCCCTTTCTCAGAGCCCCGACCCCGGGCGCTGACGGAATGGAGTGCCCTTCCCATTGGCCTGAGCGTCATTCCCTGAGGCGGCACTGCCCTGTTGATTGGCTGGCCACTCCCGACCCCCGCCCATCCTTGCACTCCGGCGGCCCCCGGCTCCCCGCCTCCCAGCCCCGCCCGGAGCCCCCCCCTCCCGCTCCCGCCGCCTCCCTCCGCGCTGTCGCCCTCGCGCCCAGCCCCGCTCCGCTAGGCTCGCGCTGGGACCCAGCCGGCGCGCTGGCCCCGCCCCCGGGGCGCGCGGCTCTATAAATACAGCTGCGCTGCCGGCCGATTGTGGAGTGGAGGCGGCGCGGTGGGGAGCTGGTACGGGAGCTGGGGGATCTTGGGGTATCGGGGAGCGCGGCGGCGGCGGCGGCGGCGGCAGCGGCGGCGGCGGCGATCCAGCTGAGTCTGCGCTCCGAAAGGAGTGACTCGGAGACCCGGCTGGGCTACTTTTTCCACCCCAGGTGGTTTTGATTTTTCTTGCCTTTTGGTTCGAGCCGGGTGTCGCCCACTGAGCAGACTCCCTCGCAGAACCCGAGCGACCCTCCTGTCAGTTAGGGGGCTCGCGATCGCCGGGAACGCCGCGGTGCCCCGAGCGCGCAGGCGAGGGGAGCGGAGCGCAGCCGGCCGCAGGCGGGGGCCCGGAGCGTGCCTGCCCGCCTCGCTCGCCGCGGCGGGTCCGCTCGCACAGGGTGCAGGGCGCGCGATGAAGGCGGTGAGCCCCGTGCGCCCCTCGGGCCGCAAGGCGCCGTCGGGCTGCGGCGGCGGGGAGCTGGCGCTGCGCTGCCTGGCCGAGCACGGCCACAGCCTGGGCGGCTCCGCGGCGGCCGCAGCAGCGCGCTGCAAGGCGGCCGAAGCGGCCGCCGACGAGCCGGCGCTGTGCCTGCAGTGCGATATGAACGACTGCTACAGCCGCCTGCGGAGGCTGGTGCCCACCATCCCGCCCAACAAGAAAGTCAGCAAAGTGGAGATCCTGCAGCACGTTATCGACTACATCCTGGACCTGCAGCTCGCCCTGGAGACGCACCCGGCTCTGCTCAGACAGCCGCCCCCGCCCGCGCCGCCGCACCTCCCGGCGGGGACCTGTCCGGCCGCACCACCGCGGACGCCGCTGACAGCGCTCAACACCGACCCGGTGAGAGGTCCCGCGGGGCAGGACGGGCGGGCGGCGGGGCGCGGGGGTCCCCTCCTCCCAGGCCGAGAATGACAGCCCCTCCTCTCCTCCGGGCAGTGGGTGAGCGGGGGGGGGGGTCTGGAAAGCGCGCGGGGTGGGACCCGGCCATGCGCCCCCGAGCCCTCGCTCCGCGGAAGGGGCTCCCCGGGCCGTGGATGGGGTAGGGCGTCGCCGCGCCGCCCGGCTTCCGAGCGCGGTCCGCGCCTGCTAACCTCTCCCTCGGCGTTGGTTGCTGTTGCAGGCCGGCGCAGTGAACAAGCAGGGCGACAGCATTCTGTGCCGCTGAGCCGCGCGGTCCAGGTGAGCGCGCGTTTCCCGTCTCGGGGGGCCGGTCGCCAGAGAGGCCCCTCCCCGGGGTTTCCGGTGCCTGGCAGCGCCGCGTTCTTTGCCCCCAGCATTTCTGAGTGTAAACTCCCGCGTATGCAGACACCTTCTGTCTCGCTGCCACCTGGCGAGCAAATGAACCCGGGCTTCACTTTGGAACTCGGGGTGCCCTGGGGAGACTGGGCAGCACTCGACCCCTGCCTCTCGGTGCCCGGGGGTCGCTCCCTATCCTCCCTGCCCCCGTGGGAGGGCCCCTCGTGGGCATGGAGGCTGCCCAGCTGTTTGCTCCACTGTCTGACACCCACGAAGAGGACGCGCCCTGGGTCTCCTGGCCGGGCTTCCCCGGCCGCCTCGGCCTCCCCGGCGCCTGGGCGGGCGCGGGCTGCGGGTGTTGTCTGACCCGGTGGCGTGTTTTGGGTTGTTGATCAAGCATGTCTTGAGTTTGGTCGGTGGCGCCAGTTAGTCTGCAGCGAGAAGGTTCACACACCCCCTCTATTCATTCCTCTTCCACAGGTGTGCGGCCGCCTGAGCCTGAGCCAGGAGCTCTAAGAGAGGGAGGGGGAAGAAAAGCCACCGGAGGAAAGGAAAAAAATTAAATCAGCAAATCTAGAAACCTTTTCGTTCGTCATTCCAAGAGAGAGGGAGAGGAAAAAAAATAAAACTTTCATCTTTTTGTTTTTGCACGTTCATAAACATTCTACATACGTATTCTCTTTTGTCTCTTCATTTATAACCGCTGTGAATTGTACATTTCTGTGTTTTTTGGAGGTGCAGTTAAACTTTTAAGCTTAAATGTGACAGGACTGATAAATAGATCAAGAGTAAACCTGACTTTAGAAGGCTACTTTATGACCAAGGAGCGCATTTTTTGTTTTGAAGCTTTACTAATATACCCCAGAGCATTGTAGATATTGTTTTTTACATCTATTGTTTAAAATAGATGATTATAATGGGGCAGGGAACTTTCTCTTCTCTGCAAGAATGTTACATATTGTATAGATAACTGAGTGACATTTCATACCATGTATATATAGAGAGATGTTCTATAAGTGTGAGAAAGTATATGCTTTAATAGACTACTGTAATTATAAGATATTTTTAATTAAATATTTTTTGTAAATATTATGCGTGTGTTCTTTTAATCTATGGGAATATTTCTTTTGGAAAATTATTTTTCAGCTCAATTGCAGAGCTGTTGATATCGTGAATGTCTTTTCTGTTTGACCTTGTTTTTCATTTGTTTTTGTTTTGCCCAGAATCATAGACTCGGAAGTAACAGTGATAGGTAGTGGTCTTGCATGATGGCATGAGATGTTTAATCGCAAATAAACTTGTTCGGAGTCCATTCAGATGTGTTTTCTTTAATCTAGATTGAAATCTTTGTATTTGAAGTGTATATGTTGAAAGTACACCTTATCAGTTTTTAAGTACAGGGTTTTATAGTGTAATATATACAGTGTTTTTTTTGTTTTATAACTGAGGTCAAAATGGATTCTGAATGACTTTGCAAATAGAATGAGGAAATGCTTGGATCCTTAAGGAGTTTACAAAATCTGCTGTTTTATCAAAGTGAAAAATTGCTTGTCACTCTTCAGTTTACACTAAAGCATAATGTCACAAAGTTTCGTATCTGTACAGGTTATTTAAATCATACAAATGAAAAATGTTCTCTGCTTGCTACCAAAGGACAAACTCTTGGAAATGAACATTTTCTGCTTTCCTTCCTCCAAAGAATATTAATTAATAGGCAACAGTGGGAGAAAAAAAAGGCATAATGGCAAATCCTTCAAGCAGGGATAAAAGTCGATCTTCAAACATTAAGTAGACCAAAAATTCTGATGACCGCATCTAGATTATTTTTTTATGAAAATGATTTTCACTATAGCTATGTCAGTTACCGCTAAGCTACTGTCCAATCTCTTGTGATGTGTAACTTTTACATGTGAGAATTAAAGTAGATTTATCTGCCTTGTATTGTGATTTCTGGTCTCATTTCTTTAAAACCTTGAAACATTTTTAAGGACCCTTTTCAAGAAAGGTAATATTTTCTGTTAGATGGGACCATCAGGGTTTGTGAACGTTATACTTTTAATGTGATGGGTACTTTACACACCGGTGAGATGGAATTTTTAGAGGGAGAGAATTAAGTAGGATTTAATTGGGTGCTTTGTAAATAGTCAACTGTGTGTGTAACGTGTTCTGTTTGGTTTTTAAGAGGAAAGGATTTGTTTCAGATTATACAAGAATAAAAGTATTATAGACCCAAGGGACTTTTTATGAGGTCAAAGTCAAATATTTGAATATGAAATATCATGGTCCCTAGCAGTGAGCTGAAGTGGCAATGTCTCAGCAGAAATGAACAGAATTAATGCTAGTAGGTTAAGATCAGTCAAAGTATGAAATCTGTCCTATTCCCAGCCTATTTTCCCCTCATCTCTGATATTTTACTGGCCTTGAGTTTTTAGAATTTGTTCCATTTGATACTGAACCTTATAAAGTCAAAGGACTGCTTATTTAAATGAGATTTATGTTTAATTTTGATATTCATTCTTGTCACACATTAAGAGGAAAACACTAGAACACTGCTGGAATTCCAAATCTGAAGAATTCTAAGGAGTGCATTCTTTGTTATTAAAAAGGGCACAATTCCTCCTTTTTATCTGGCAGTTTAATTTCAGTAGGAAGCCTGTCACGGGTGCACTGTTAGTTAGAATTGTGCATTTGTCGTGCCTGACTGCTGAATCCTACCTAAGGCTTTGGGCAGAGGTTAAAACTTAGACTGGTGGCCTCTGAACCTCATAACAAGTGAATTGATATTTTTGATTTTTGAAGCTAAATGTTGCTCCTTAGTTAAATTTATGTTTGAGGCAAGAAAAACCACTAAAAGAAAAGTATTGTGGATCTTACATTTCAGAGAGTTGACATTTTCCCCTTGGCCACTCAGGCAGCATTTGATGTCTCTAAAGAAACAAAGTTAGTGTTTATTTTTTAAAAATAACACAGTTGTATAAGATAGTACATTCTAGTAACATGTTGGCTGAGTCCTTAACCAAGCAACCACATAAAAACATTTTGTCTTTTATCTAGGTAGTTCTTGTTATTTAGATATTTAGTTTCACAAAGGAAAAAATCCTGATTTCTCTCATTTAATTTGTAGACTTTGACTACATAGGCACAACCAAAGAGTAAAACTCACTTAAAGCCCCACAAGGAAAATAAGTATCCTACATGGTGGATATTATTTCTAAAGTGGTTATAAATAAAATCCTGACATCTCATGTTAAAAGAAGAGAAAAAAATAACTTCATTTCAAAGAACGACTATACTTTGATACTGTATAAATCATACTCAAGTTTATTGTTGAGCTTTAACTGCATTTTTAAGACTTAAATTTTTAGCCCCCGAAATCTGTTGTATTAGATCCCTTCTTTAACAATAAATCTTCACTGAGCAAAAGGTTCTGAAGTTTGTGGTTTTTAATTGACTTTTACTGAGTTATGCAATTTTTCATTATCAGGAATGGGTCTCTTGATGGATCGCCTCAATTATTTACAGTGTTTCTTACCGTTTGATGAAAAATGTGGCTTAAAAATGGTGATATGAACAGAAAGGAAATTAGTTTGAATGGGAATAGCTTCAGAACTCCTTAGTGTCTATTACAACAGGAAGCAATAATACTAAAGAAGCCAGCAGGATGATGTCCAGGGAAAACCAGATTTTTTTTTTAAAAGTACATAAAGGCGACAGAAGTATTTCACCTTTGTGCAGAGCCAAATAAAACTGGCTTTGCCTTTCTAGTTGGCATACTTTAATTATATATATGTTAATCAGCCCAGTTAGCTCTTGGGTCTCACAAGGCCAAACCCCAAACCCTCCAAAGTTAGGAGGAAGGAAAACCTTCCCCTTGCTGCTTTGTGATTCCAGGAAATTAATTTCCCCATACCAAGATGAATGTTGTTTTTGTTTTGGTCTCAGGAATCGAACTCGGGTCCTTGCGCTTGTGAGGAAGGCACCGGAACCACTGAGCTAGATCCCCACCCCCCAAGATGAATCTTAACAGGGCTGCCCTCAGTAGGTATTCTTCAGACCCAGATGATTTCTTTCAATTATAACCCATGACATTTTGCTACAATACTCATTTTATTAATTAAAACCATTGCCCACCAGGTTTTCAGATAATCATTTTACTTACAGCTTCTACCTGGAGCACTGATACCTTAAAAGATAAAGAAAACCATTACAAAAGGGAACAACTTTTTTTTGCCCTCCATAGGCGGCAACCTGCAGTCAGGTAGATGTAATGGAAAATGCTCGAGATATGGAGTGAAATTTACAAACGTGTTTTATGTTCAAGCACCTCTTTCACAGTCATTCATATCCTGGCTTCTTCTAAAATGTTTCACCTAAGTGTTAAAACCCAGGTCTCAACCCCATTGCCAAGGCTTTTCCACACTCACCAGAGCAGAGCAATTCAGCAGCGAGGCTGCGGACTCTGGTTCCATCAGTCATAAGTCTGCACAGTAATTCACACATGCAAGACAAAGTGGAGCTGTACAAGTGGAAGTTAATTTGAAAAGCCTCTCTGAGTTCACAAAAGAGTAAGCACCATAGTTTCTGGGGAAAGAGGAGCAAAATGTGTCACCTGTATCCCACTGGCTAAAAGACGATTACAAAAGAACTGAATTTCAAATGTTTAAATAAAGAGAACCAAGGTTTATACATGAATCCACTTGCATCTGAAATCTCACACTTTAAATAGGAACTTTCAAAGAGATTACATACGCATAGGTAAATATGCAAATTCCTAGTGACACAAGACACCATCATTTGCTTCTAATTACTATTCTTCAATTCTTTTTCATATAAAATGCCTGTTAGCACTGTTGACATGCATATTACAGTCAAATTTTAAATTTTTATCTTTTATGCCAAAGTTTAATTTCCAAAGGAAACTACCACAGTCTTAACAGTTCTTCATATTTACTTAAATATTTTAAATATTTCTGAAATATTTTAAACATTTTCTTAAATATTTTCTTAAATATTTACTCCTTTCTTCATAAGCTTTAGCAGTCGATTGAGAGACGGTAGTTGTGGGTGTGTGAACCAAAAGTAGCCAATATACAGGAAAATACCTTTCAAAAAGGACTTTCATTCTAAAAAATAAGTAACTATAGTAACTATATTAACTTTCCTGCCTCTTCTCCACTCTAATTTCTAAGATTATTTCCACAAAGATGCATCTTCCATTTTTTTTTTTTTGGACTGTTAATAAACAACCATGATACATTTAAGCATAAGGCAGGATAAAAACAAAAAAGAATTGGTAAATTAATGTCATGTCTAGCATGCCCTAGAATTTGGTTGTAAGCTCACAAATGATCTCAAGAAAAATTAAAAGAGGGATGTTGTTTGTTTGCTTGTTTTGGGTACTGGGGATTGAACTCAGGACCTTGTGCTTGCAAGGCAGGCCGCGGAACCACTGAGCTATATCCCAAGCCCAGGAAGTTATTTTTATGTCAAACTTCAGAGAAATGCCAGGACGTGGACATCAATTTAAAGACAAAATTTTATACCTTACTTCACCAATAATTCTTGTAAACACTTTTCACACATGTTGAACCTGAGGCCCTGGTTTTCTAATGTTTGAGACCATGGATGATACTTCTCAACGTGTCCTGGGAAATATTTGCCTTGTGAAATATTCCTTGTGGGCTTGTGAAATATTCATTGAACTCCAGAGACATCCTAGACAACCTCTTCTCAGTGGTCTCTTCTGCTTCTTCGTCCTTTCATCTCCCCTCTGTTGCAGTCCGCCCTCAAGCCACTGTATCTCACTGCCCTCTACTCCTTTGCACCTCTGAAAAACAATAGGTTCAATGTAGGATTTGATCATCTTCCCCAAACCCTTACTCTGTCTACATTCCTTATCTTGGCAAATGGAACGTGTCATCAGGTCAGAAATTTTGGAAACAGTCCTTGACTGTGTCTTATTCCGTCCTGCTCACTTGGGCCCAAAACTCCCTATGAAAGTCCCTTCCCCACCCACCCCCAGCCTCCCAGGGTCACTACCCCTCCAGTATGGGCCCTCTCAACTTTTCATCCAGATTTTGGGTCTTCTCTGGCTCTTTGGGTCTCATCTTTCTTCCCCTTTTCTGTCTTCCATGTGAGTCTAGCCACATCACTCATCAACAGCCACCCTCTGCCTACAAGGGACAGTCCAACATCCCAGGCCCCCGAAGCCTGGACCTATGGCTCCTTCAGAGTCTTCTCCCACCAGCCCTTCCTCTCTTCTGCTTACTTTGCTCTTCAAGCTCACATTTTATACTTAAACTACACCCAGGATCTCATCCTGTATGTGCTAGACAGCAAAACATGCTTATCTTTCTAGTATTGACAGAGTATGATTGATTTCCTGAGCGGAAAGAAGGGAGCAGCCTCAGGAAGGGCACAGGTGGAATGTGGAACAATGAGGGTGGGGGATAGAGGCCACCTGCCTAGCCAGTCAGACCAGCTGAGTCAACCTTGTCCATCTGTGGGTAAGAGCGAACCTATCCACAGCCCAGATACTCTGTTCTTTAATGCTTCTGTCCTTTGCGCGTGGTGTCGCGCCTGCCTGAGCTCCCTGACTCTCATGCTTAGCTATTGTTAAACTCCCAAACATCCTCAAAATGCAACTGCTACATTTCCTGCAAAAATTATTAGCTATGCCTCCTCCTCATCCTCAAAATAGCTACCACCCGAATGCCATATTCTAATTGTTTTCATATGACTATGTTCCTGGTCAATCCCTGACCCTCCAAGGACTCCAGACCACAAGTACTAGAACAACATTCCTGTAACTCTCTGTACCAGCAAATCGAGCAAATTCTTTGCAGCTCAAAACTGCAATTGAGAGATTTTCATTATCTTTAAAAGCCTTTGGCTGCCTCAAACATGGAAAACAGATAAGCTGTATGTTCTTGAGAGTGAAG